ATTTTTGCTGGTGCAGAGAACAATGGCTCTGCAGGGGTCATGGTGATATGGTGATCATCTGCAGGGCTTCACCCTCAGAGAGTGCCTCCCAGGCCTGGAGCTCAAACTCCTTATACAGTACACCTCCCTGCAGTAGCATCTACGACATGGTCTTGGTCCTAGAATGAATTATGAACAATGTCAGTGCAGCAGCCATGGACAGGCTTGCTCCATCAAATCACAAATGATTTATGATATCATTGATAATTCTCAGGGATTCTATATATGTCCAATGGAGTCCCAGAATAGAAGCAAAATGAATATTCCATTCCACATTGGTAATGCCAAAGGAGACGATGCTTTAGAAGAAAGGTTTCTCGATAAAAGCTCATTTTTGTTTGTTTGCTTGTTTTGTTTACCTCCAGATAAACCTGTTGGCTAAATATAATCTCCCTGAAAGGGCATAGGTCTGTGGGAGGCATCCAGGCCTCTCAGTGCAATGCGGTCACCATCGAGGATATTCAGAGCTGGCAGCCTTCATGAAGAATTTTTTTGGAGATGCGTCAGCTGTGAACACATCCTAACCAACATATATTCTAACTTTGAACAATGTCCAAAATTTAAAGTAACTTCACAATGGCTTCAAAAACTTAAACATGGTATTTTCCTCAAAGAAATGTGCTTATTATAGAATCTTCTCTCTTTTTTTCCCCAAAGAACAGCAAAACATCCCACAGCTCTGCAAAGCTAGTGGGATTAAACAGTGCCTTAATTTTGACTTGAATTGAAAGCATTTTTAAAAACCTTCCCTTAGCTTTTCTAATGATTCCAGCTTATTTTGTCTTTGCTGCTACTTTTACTAGCTAGATCTCAGTATCCAGACTTGCTTGTGTACTCAATTAGGCAAATGCAGTCAATGTTTCTGGAGGCGCACAAACATGCAGCAGAGAGAGTGAATGGGGTCCTCTTGGTGCTAAATCTTGATCCTTTCCAAAATGACAGTGGTGGGGACTCCTGGGTTGGAGAGCTGTTCACTCAGGTCAACAATGACCATGTGTCACTTTACAAGGTTTAGAAGTCACCTGATTAATTTTACTTTCAGTGGGTAGAGAGAAGTGTGTGGCCAGAGTGATGCTGTGAGCTCTGGAAGATGCTTGCTGAAGAGTCTTTCCCCCTATTGTTTAAACAAGTTCAATCCTAAAGCATCAAAAAAAATTCAGATTAGAACTAGTGTGACCCAGCATCCTACTTCTGGGTACTTATCTGAAGAAATCCAAAACACTAATTTGAAAATATAAGCATACGTATGTCCAATGCAGGGTTATTTTCAATAGCCAAGACATGGAAGCAACCTAGGTGTCCATCAATAGACAACTGGATAAAAAAGATGTGGCACATATGTACAATGGAATATTACTCAGCCATAACAAAGAATGAAATCTTACCATTTACAACAACATGGACGGATACAGGGGTGTCCAACCTTCTGGTGTCTCTGGGCCACACTGGAAGAAGAGTTGTATTGGGCCACACATTGAAAAGATTGTGACACTTAAACACACAAAAAAATCTCATAATGTTTTAAGTAAATTTACAGTTTTATGTTGGGCTGCATTCACAGCCATCCTGAGCCACACGCAGCCTCAGGCTGCAGGTTGGACACCCCTGAGATGGTATTATGCTGAGTGAAACAAATCAGACAGAGAGAGACACTATATGATTTTTATTTACACATGAAATCTAAAGAAAAAATAAATGAACAAACAAAATAGATACAGACTTAATAGATACAGAGAAGACTGATGGTTGCCAAATTTGAAGGGGATTGGAGGACTGGGCAGTTACAAAATAGTCCTAGGGAGGTAAAGTACAACACAGGGAATATAGTAGACATGTTGTACTAACTACATGTGGTGTCAGGTGGATGCCAGACTAGTGGGGGATCACTTCATAAGTTATAAAATGTCTAACCACTATGCTGTACACCTGAAATAAATATCGAATGTCAGCTGTAATTGAATAATTTAAAAATGTAAATGCATAGTCATTTATTTGAAGTAAATGAATATTACATATTACAGGGAACATCTGTTTTACCTCCAGTCTGAGCTAATTGCATAGCAGTAATAATAATAATGGTGATGATAATAATCACTTCCACTTACTGCATATCTTCCATGCGCTAGAGGACTAATATGCTGTATCTCCTATAGTTTATATAAGTGTTATTATCTCTGATTTAAAAATAAGGAGACCAAGGCTCAGATTAAGTAATTTGTTTAAGGCCACATAGGTAGCAAGTGGCAGAGGTGAGTGGTGAATTAAGGTCATTCTAATTCCAAAGCCCTCACGTACAACGTTTCTTCTATGGGAGGGTATGTACAGGAGTCAAGCAGGAAAGGTCTGGAAGCTGCAGCAGCTGAACATAACTATGCCCCTACTGGTTTGCTGTCCCTAGTGGAGACAACTTTGGGGGTATTAAGGTGCCACCGTCTGTAGCATTAATTAACATCTTACCTGGGGAATTTTTCCAACATCCCCCAACCCATGTCACTTCCAGATCAGTTAAATCAGAGTCTCTAGGGTGGGACCCAGGCCTCTGTTGCTAAAAGCCCCCAAGTGGTTTTGATATGTAGCCAAGGGAACCTTTGCTGTGAAGTCTTGGTTAAAAAATTAAAGGACTTTAGTGCCTTTTCTATTGTATTTCCTGCAAACAAGATTTAAAGGCCTCTTCAACTGCTTTTACAATGCTGAAATAAAAGACTGTTGCTATTTCTTTGGAGCATATACACACAAATTTCAGGTAACCTTGTATCTGGTCTTCAAAACTAGAGAAAGTAGAGACAAGCACCTATCTCTGTGATACTTCAAAAGTCAGCTCACATGATTGTTTTTGGATTTTTAAATCTTTTCTTTTATATTTCAATTATAGCTGACATACATTATTGTATCAGTTTCAGGTGTACTGACCAGTAATTATACATTACATAACATACTAAGTGATCATCCCTATATACCTCACACTCATATGACACCATGCGCAGTTATTAAAATATTATTGACTACAGTCCCATGACTATTACATCCCTATGGTTATTCTGTAACAACCCAGTTGTACTTCTTAACCCCTTCACCTTTCTCATCTATTCCCCCAACCTCCCTTCAGTCTGGCAACCATCAAAATGTTATCTGTATCTATGAGTCCGTTTCTGTTCTGCTTATTTGTTTTTTAGATTCAATTATTGATAGATATGTATTTTTGCCATTTTATTGTCCATATTTTTTTTCTTCTTAAAGAAGACCCTTTGACATTTCATATAATAATGGTTTGGTGATAATGAACTTCTTTAGCTTTTTCTTATCTGGGAATCTCTTTATCTGCCCTTCAGTTCTAAATGATATTGCTAAATGACTTGCTAGGTAGAGCAATCTTGGCTATAGGTCCCTGCTTTTCATCACTTTGCCTATTTCTTGCCAATCCCTTCTGGCCTGCAAAGTTTTTTATAAGAAATCAGCTGACAGTCTTAAAGGAGCTCCTTTGTAGGTAACTAGCTGCTTTTCTCTTGCTGTTTTTAAGATTCTCTCTTGGTTGTTAACCTTTGGCATTTTAACTATGATGTGTCTTAGAGTGAGACTCTTTGGGTTCATCTTGTTTGGGACTCTCTGTGCTTCCTGGGCTTACATGTCTATTTCCTTCACCAAGTTAAGGAAGTTTTTTGTCATTATTGTTTCAAATAGGTTTTCAATTTCTTGCTCTCCCTCTTCTTCTTCTGGAACCCCCATGATGCCAATGTTGGTATGCTTAAAGTTGTCCTGAAGGCTCTTTATATTACCCTCATTTTTTGGATTCCTTTTTCTTTGTGTTGTTCTGATTGGATGTTTTTTGCTTCCTTATATTCAAAGTCATTGATTTGATTCTCAGCTTCATCTACTCTACTGTTAATTTCCCTGTAAAATATTCTTCATCTCAGTTAGTGTTTCCTTCATTTCTGACTGGTTATTTTTTATGCTGTTGATGTTCTCACTAAATTTAATGAGCATCCTTATAACCATTGTATTGAACTCTGCATCTAGTAGATCACTTGTCTCCATTTTGTTTAGTTCTTTTCGTGGAATTTTATTCTGTTCTTACATTTGGCTCATATGTCTTTGTCTCCTCATTTTGGCAGCCTCCCTGTGTTTGTTCCTATGTATTATGTAGAGCTGCTGCATCTCCCAGGCTTGGTACAGTAGTAGGTGTCCTAATGTAGTAGGTGTCCTATAGGGCACAGCATTCAACTCAATTTCAGGCAGTTCTGAATGGTAGTTGTTCTGTAGACTAGTTATAATTTTTATGTGGTTGTGGGATGAGGTGAGTATTGCATTTACCTCTGCTGCCATCTTAACCAGAAGTCAATCATTTTGAAAGTCATTTTTTGTATGGCTAGAGAAGCCAGTTATTGAATTAATCAGAAGTAGTCATAGGCCAGGTTGACCTAGGACATTGTAGAAAAAAACAAACCAGACTTTAAGGTAACTATAAATATTATAAGCCATCATACTTTCTTAAAAAGAGCTTCAATGAAATATTTCTGCTTTTTGGCATGGATTGTGGTAACTCTGATAAAAGCAAAGACCCTCTTTCACATCATTTTCCCACAGGAATAAAAAGCTGCCTTTTTACTAACCTCTCACCCACCCTGATTTTAGACTTGTGTTACTATAGCATGTTATCTATGCATTCCATTTGAAAACACAACTGATCCACTCTCAATTTCACTCTGTTCCATGCATGATTCTCTAAAATAGGGCTGTATCATATACTGGGGTTTTTCCATGTCTCAGGAGACATTAATTGTTGTCAAAACTATGTGTAATTTTCATAGTTTAGAGAATGAATATATAGTATTATCATAACAGAAAAAAACATTCTATTGTGAAAACCACCAGCAAATGGCGAGTCCTGACCACATCTTAGGCCACCATGGAGGCAAGCTGCTTCTGTCCTGTCCTTAGTAACAGTGCTCAATGCTTGCTTACAGAATGACGTGACTGCACTTCTGAAACCAATATCGGAAAAGATCCAGGAAATCCAAACTTTCAGAGAGAAGAACCGAGGCAGCACAATGTTTAACCATCTCTCAGCCGTCAGTGAAAGCATCCCGGCCCTTGGGTGGATAGCTGTGGTGAGTCCGGATGGAGTGTCGCCACTGCACCTCGTCACATTTTTGGAGTGTGTAGGAGAATCCATGGCTCCTTTCAGGTTCCTTCATCATCCCTCTGTTACACTGAAGGCAGAGTCTGTGCAGGCTGACTTGTGCTCTTTCTTATGCTGTTTGAAGTTCAGTGCTTTGTGTTCTAATATGTGAAAGTGTTTCATCAATCTTTACAGAGCAAGATTTGACTTTAACTTTCAAGTCAACATCTCCATTGCTTTTCTTCTTCTTTAAGGCATTTTCTTTCTTATCCTATTTTTTTTCCTTCTATTCTTGGGTGATGGTCCTGTTCTCTCAGTCCCCCAAACCCGGTCCTTATGTCAAGGAGATGAATGATGCTGCCACCTTTTACACTAACAGGGTTTTAAAGGACTACAAACACAGGTATGTACCTTCTTTTACTGACCAAGTTTTCAGTTAATTGCTTGTTAGACATTTGTCCCTAATATTTATATAATTGACTACTGATTCCTTTCAAGAGCTATTAACAAATTTACTATAAATGTTAATGAAAAAGCATATCTTTGCAAGAAAAGCAAAATGGAAAGTGTTTTAGAAGTTCTGCCTCAGTTTTCTTGTACTGAATAAACTCTCCCACTTGAATGCACGTTATCTGTTACATATTCCCACATTAATGCCAGAGCTCTGTGATGATTTGTGATAGACCAGCCCCATATGGTCACAAAACTTTTACAGTGATCAAAATAGAGTTGGTGGGTGAGCAGAGAGATGAAAGGAGAAATCAGAAAATGAAGTATAAATAAAGAACAGAAATGAGATGAGACAATAAACCAGGCCAATGAGGGGGAAAGCAGAGATTGTGGTGAGATTGAAATACAAAAGGCATTTATAAGAATAGCACTCAGAGGGCTGTTGGAAGAACAGAAGAGTCTGAACCAATGGGTTTGCCTATAGAATCAGCTTTTAAATTTTAACCGTTGCTTTCTAAACCCAAATCATTGATCTTAGGCCTAAATTAGGGTTAAAATGGAAAATGGGACCAAATGGAAAGACACCAGAGCTGAATATACATGAAAATGTCTCCTTAACTACAGTGCTACCTTCATATAGTCTTTCTGTGTCAGGCAAAGAGGTCTTGTAGCTTTTAAGAAGGACAGATTTAGGAGACATTAAGTGTGCCTTTTTCTTCTTTCAGTCCATGGGAACTTCAGATACATTAATTATACCCAATAATAGACCACCTGCCCCCAGAGAACTGTGACCAAGGCAATGGTGCCCAATGATACAACTACAAATGTTGCCATGTTGTATAGAGACTACGGAATTGTGCAATATGAATGAGAAAAGGCATCAAAAATGCAAGATGCCTACTCTTCTCACATAAAAATCACAGTTCAGGAACCTATTTTGTTATGAAATCTGGACATAATAATTATGTTGGCATGAACCTACACCCATAGTGACTTCCACATCATAAAAGGTCTTCTGTACTGAGTCTTTTTTTCAGGACTGGACACTTTAGGCACCACCTTGGTCTTGCCTTTTTGCATGTCACCTTGGGGGCCATTTTTTGCTTTATCTCTGGTCATCAGCTCCTGGCCTCCTCCCAGTCCCTACCTGACTGTATGTTGGGCCATGGATGTGAGTGATTCTCTTTAGGTGGCAGCATAACCAGGAGGGTTCTGGTTTTCTGCTTCTTTTTTTTTTTGGTAGAGCCCAGTGTTTGCCCCTCGATGCCAGCTATGCAGTACAAAATGTACTTCTGGCAGCATCGACAACTCAATTACACTTAGTGGATCACCTGAACACTATCATATGCCAGGGAAACGCAGCCAGACATGTGGATTCACTCACTTCACTTCACTTCCAGAAATTGTCAGATCAGTTCCAAGTCACTGGTCAAACTTCCAGGGGTGGTAACCAGTCAGAAGCAGAACACTGCACACCACTCACAGTACACCCACTTTCGGGTGCACCCAAGCCAGCTGGGCCTTCACTCTGTGAGCTCAGGGCTGCTGAAGAACATTGCAGTCCTTTGTCCCTCGTGCTGCTCACCTGCAGGCAGGCCGTAGGTAGAGGAGTTGAGCCGTAGGTAGAGGAGGCTTCCTTGTGGTTAAAATGAAAGTGCTGTGGGCAGTCCAGTCCTTACAATTGGCTTGACTGGTTGTTTAGCTCTTTTTCAGTAAATGAATACAGTAAGTTAATTACTTTGACATTGGCCCCTGTGAGTCATAATTATTAAAATCACAGGCCCCTGCCATAGCTTCTTCCAAGGTAAACAAAAACTGAGGATGGGCTTGTAGCTCCTGAGGTGTTGTTGGGGTCCTCCCTACTGCGTTGTCTGGTAGAGACTGACTTCAGGCTAGAAGACATCATATTGTTATTCCTTATCACAAGTTTTGCTAGAACTTTCTTCAAATCAAAAATCATGCTATAATAGTTAAATAAAAAATGAATTTGCCTATCCATGTTTGGACTTCATTGCTTGTTAAACTTTTTAAATAGATACGTGTAACCTGCTATTTCTAAAATATCTATAGACATGTGTTCTATGTACATACACATATGTACATATGCACACATATGTACCAAAGAACCATATAAATGTGTACATTACATTGAAGTGATTTTAGTACTCGAACAACTGCTGTTGTACATGTCATCTCCTATGTGCAGGGCACTGTACTGAGACCCTCACACACCCCATAGGATAAGGAAACTGATATGAGAGACATATGAAGCTACATTTGGCCTTTTAGGGTTTGACTGTAAAAATATAAGAAAGTAAAAATGAGGTTTTTCACAGGTTTGATTAATAAAACAGTAAATCTTAAAATATAGAACAAAACCACACTCACATGTTTCATCTTCGAGGGGTAGATAATTATGACTTCAGTTCCCAACTTCACTTTTTCTTAAACCCATGACTTAACACGATGGGATTCTAAACGTGGTGGTATTTCTCACTGAGCTTTTCAAGGAGAACAAAATGGAATGCATCCAGAGAAAAGTCACTGGTGACAAGAGCTTTGGTAATAGAGATTTCCTTCAGTGACTGTCTTCAGATGAATGGCCCAGGCTCATGATTAAGTTTTTGTTAACTGAGACTTCATCATTTTCTCATTTACCATGAATTCATGCAAAGTGGAAAAAAATGTGTGGGTGGAATTATCCAAAGGAAATGCAACTATTTTTGCCTATCTACAAGTTTACTATTTCTAACAGTCGTCTCAATCCTGTATGTTAATCCTGTTGTAAAAGGTAAGCATTTACTACATCTTGGTTCAGCAAAATTGGGATAAAAATGATAATACCCTGCCTCGTTTGCATTGCCATTATAAATATCAAGTTAAAGTAACTTAAGTGAATATTACCTTTAGAAATAGGGAATGATACCCATTTGTAGAAAATCATTTTTCTCGTAATAGCAACATCCTTACCACTCCAAAATTGTCCAATTTGGTTATACTTCAACCAAATAATTCAACCAAATTATTAGAAAACAAGCCAAAGGACTTTTTCTTTTCAATACCATTCTCTTTCCTGAAAACATTGTTTTTCATCATGCATTAGAAGCAGTACAGAAAGAAAGGGTCACCTCCCCACAGTCATCTGCCCACTAGAGGTGACATGAGGACCCACGACCTAAACTGGTGTGGTTCTGTGGGGTCCCCCTGTGGTCCTCTCTGCTCCACATCTGGAGCTCAGGGCACTCAGCTCCCCTTGGGAGAGACCTGAATCGCCTTTCTTTCAAGGCTCTCTTTGGAATCAGTTCACAGTGACTGGACTAGAAAGACAATTGCTCCAGGGTCATCCAGCCTTAGTAACTGGATTACCATGTGTCTCCCTATTTTTTTTAATCTGATTTTGATCCTAACTCCATTCTTTTCCACTCTCTTTTATAACAGAGAAATTTACAACATGTGGGTTGGCAGAATTCATAGTTGAACATTGTTTTAAAATCTGATTTTAAATCCTAACTCCACTCTCTTCCACTCTCTTTTATAACAAAGCGATTTACGCCATGTGGATTGGGTGAAGTCATATTTGAACATTTGGAGTGAGCTTCAAGCATACATCAAGGAACACCACACCACAGGCCTTACTTGGAGCAAAACAGTAAGTACCAAGCCCTCTTCACCTGAAAAACAGAGCACCATAAAACTATTCACTCCCAGTAGCCTACTCATCTCACACTTTCAAAGTTACCTTAAGGAAAGCATAAGATAAAATATACATATAGAAACTGTTTATGACAATGTCATCTATCATGGGACAATCTGGAAACTGCCTCCATGACATGCAGGAAGAAAGTGGTAAAGGTGTCCATGGTAAGAACATTTGACAACCATTAAAAATAACATGATAATTACATGGGAATTTAGTGATAGCCAGTTTAGTGATAGAGTGCAAAAGTTTATGAGTAAAATGACATCTATGTGAAGAAACTGATAAAAATGGAAGGAAACAGGAAGCTTTGAAATTGTTATTAATTTTAAGGAGATAGAATTATGAATAAAATGTCTCTTTTAATGTTTTTGCTTGCTCTTTTGGTGTTTTAAAGTTTACCAAATATTTGAGTCCTTAACAATTCTAGTACTTCGTGTGATATCCTAGTCCTAGGTTAAAATCCCAGGCTATCTCTGTTCCCACTTTAATTTCCATGTGAGATGTTGATCTGACCTTTGCCCCCTTCTTCTGCCTTCTCTCTTACCCTCCCTCCTCTCAGTGCACCCCAGCGCTGCCACACAACTCATGGAATCCTGACCACACGCAGTGCTGAGGTCGAACCAAATCAAATTGTCATTTCAAAATTTGCAAGTTTCAGTCTTTACCGCAATGTCCCAAACATATATCATGCTCCATGACCTCTGTTCCCTGGGGAAGTACCCTCTCTCTCTTCTCCAAAATTTCACTTCAACATCACTTCTTTAAGAAACTTCCATTGATCTCCATCAGCCCTCCATCTGGAACTGGTGCCCTCCTTTTATTCCTCTTCCATCGCTTTATTATACCTCAACCATAGCCCTTAGAACATAGAGTTGTAATTTTTTGCATGTTTTTGGAGCTCTTTCATTTGACTGCAAAACTCATTACAACCTCTAGCCCCTAACATAGTGCCTGGTACCGAGTAAGTGCCCAGTAAACTGTGAACTAAACTGTGAGTTGGGGGTCTTTTAGAATCTTCTTTGATCTTTTAAGAATATTTACTTAAATATTCTTCTCATGGAAAATCCCTTCTGTGAGAAGTGAATCTTACCTGTCAGTGGTCACAGTGGATGGTCTAACTGGAGTAAATGCTGAGGTTTGTGAATTCTATTCAAGGGTAGGACCCACACTGCCCTGTGGCTGCCCTCTAGCACCTATCCTCAGTTATAATTGTTAATGTCAGCAGATTAGACTTAAAATGAAGGCCGAGTTTGTGACTTTTCAAGGGACTGTGGGACTTATGCATTTGTCCCCGACACTTGTACAAACATTAACATTGACCCCTAAAGATGGACACTTCTTTTTATTTTCTACTTTGTCCATTTTCTCCATACGCTGAAGTGCACAGTGCAGGATACAATAACTAAGTTGATCGTTCATCTTTTGCTCACAACATTATGATTTCTGAGAGAAGAGTCCATAAACATTTGAAGGGTTTTAATCCAGAAGGGTATGTGTGGATGTCACTCAGTGTTTTTGTAGATTAATTGTAATTATTTTTCATACATTTCCAATGAGATGTTGTTTTATAATAGGTCAATTTTCATAAAGAGGAATTGTCACATGTTTGCCATGAAGATAGGTCATCATGACAGAATAGCAAACAAAACATCAAGAGTCTTTAGATTTATTTTTATTTCATGGTAGGTAAATGAAAAAGGAATGAGTCCATTTGTAGAAAATAATCACGTCAACAAACACTAGCCTATTAATTCTCTAATGAGTGCCCATGGAAAGTGAATAGAAAATCACTTTTAAATGGTTTTAATACCTTTAATGCAATGGGCAAAGCTGAGTAATTGTGCTTTGAATGTAAAAAAAATTCTTATTAATTATAGAAAAATAAATGTAGTAGTTTTTGCTTTATTTTAAATACTTATCTTTTCATATGTTCATTAGATATATATGCCTTGTGACAATGACTTTCAAACTTTTTAAAGAAAATCCATTGGAAAAATACATGCTAAGGAACACTTTATATACATACCATGCCCACAATACTAAACTAAGTTTCACAAAACAATACTTTTTCTTACCACATGATATGCATTCATATATTTCCTTTCCTAATTTTATTTCATTTTTTTATAAAATGATGGATGACACCCATTAAATTCATGACCCACTAATGGTTCACATCCCACATTTTGAAAGACATGTTATAAAACACAGATGTTATATTTATGTAAAATATAAGTGATCCTCGGAGCATGAATTGGGCAGTGCGGATTGCCACAATAAAAATGACAGCTATACTTACTGAGCACATGTCACACTACTGGAGAACCACATTCAAAATGGTAACCATTATAAAGCAGAGTATCTATTTCACTTCTCAAATAGAAGATTAGTATGATGATGTTTTGGCCAGATAGTAAAAGTGAAGAATGATTATGGTAAAAAAAATGTTGGTTCAGAGATAACATAATATGTACAAAATCTTTTAACAAGCTTTAAGACATATTCATAGAAACCTTTTTTCTGATATTTTTGTCCTCTTCTAATAAGGCTTGGTATAAAACTATGTAAAACTTTATTATAAAAAGTATAGCTTTTATTTTAATCTAAATTTCTATTTAAGTTATTAAAAACTATTTAAAAGTTCCCAAAACATAATCCATAGCATAAATTAAATAATTTTCTGCTCACTTATGATGGTCTGCCAACTTACCAGCAAAATGAATGATAATTACAGCCAGAATTACAGCATTCTTGCAAAGAGGAAGGAAAGGGCTCTTAGAATTATCTGATCAAATGGCATGTGGGGAAAAATTAATAAGAATCATTTCATTTATTTTTCCACTGATCACAACTTTGCTAAAAGTATGCATGTATAAAATTATAAGAATCAGACACTTCCAGCCAAGATGGAGGCATAGGTAGACACACTGTGCCTCCTCACACAACCAAAATAACGACAACAACAATTTAGAAATGAAATAACAACCAGAACTGACAGAAAAATTGAACTGTATGGAAGTCAGACGACCAAGGAGTTACAATAGACACATTCATCCAGACCAGTAGGAAGGGCAGAGTCAGGCAGCTAGGCAGAGAGGGGTCGCAGCTCAAAAAGTGGTGGCACCAGGCATGTAAGGCATCTTGGGCATGCAAGACCGCAGCAGGTGGACCCTGGGCATGCAAGTGGTGGCTGGCAAACCCTGGGCGCAGGGTGGCAACAGGCAGACCCAGTGAGGCAGCAATTGTGAAACGAGGCACTGCATGCAAGGTGGCTGGCTGACCAGGCAGTCCTACATTCACATACAGATAAACCAGGTGAAATTGGGGAGCGAGACAGACCACTGAATCTAGGGTCCCAGCACCAGGAAATAGAGCCTCGGGGCACTGATTGAAAACACCTGTGGGGGTTGAGGTGCCAGGAGAGACTCCCAGCCTCACAGGAGAGTTTGTTGGAGAGACCCACAGGATTCTGGAATGTCCACATGCCCACCCACATGGGAATTAGCACCAGAAAGGCCCAGTTTGCTTGGGGGAAGCAGCGGAAGGGACTGAAATCTGACAGAGAGCAGAGCAAGCACCATTATTCCTTCTGGGACCCCACCCCCACATACAAGTCACAACCCAGCCACTGTGTTACCCCACCCTGGTGAAAACCTAAGGCTCTGCCCTTCATACATAACAGGTGAGGCAAGACAAAAAAAAAAAAAGTCCAAATGGAAGAACAGATCAAAGCTCCACAGCAAATACAACTAAGTGACCAAGAGACAGCCGTCCTATCAGATGCACAGTTCAAAGCACTGGTGATCAGGATGCTCACAGAAATGGTTGAATTTGGTCGCAAATTAGATGAAGAAATGAAGGCTACACTAAGTGAAATGAAGGAAAATGCACAGGGAACCAACAGTGATGGGAAGAAAACTGGGACTCAAATCAATGGAGTGGACCAGAAGCGAGAAAGAAACAACCAAACAGAGAAGAATGAAGAAGCAAGAATTCAAAAAAATGAGAAGTTTAGGAACCTCCAGGGCTACTTTAAACATTCCAACATCTGAATTATAGGGGTACCAGAAGGGGAAGAGGAAGAGCAACAAGTGTAAAAGTTATTTGAACAAATAATACAGGAGAACTTCTCCAATCTGGCAAAGGAAATAGACTTCCAGGAAGTCCAGGAAGCTCAGAGAGTCCCAAAGAAGTTGAGCCCAAGGAGGAACACACCAAGGCACATCATAATTACATTACCCAAGATAAAAATGAAAGAGAAAATCCTAGAAGCAGCAAGAGATAAGGAGACGGTAACCTACAAAGGAATTCCCATCAGACTGTCAGCTGATTTCTCAAAAGAGACCTTGCAGGCAGGAAGGGGCTGGAAAGAAGTGTTCAAAGTCATGAAAGGCAAGGACCTACATCTAAGATTGCTCTATCCAGCAAAGCTTTCATTTAGAATGGAAGGGCAGATAAAGTGCTTCTCAGATAAGGTCAAGTTCAAGGAGTTCATCATCATCAAGCCCTTATTATATGAAATGTTAAAGGGACTTATCTAAGAAAAAGAAGATAAAAAACATGTATAGTAAAATGACAGCAAACTCACAATTATTAACAACAACACCTAAAACTAAAACAAAAAGAAACTAAGCAAACAACTACAACAGGAACAGAACCACAGAAATGGAGATCACATGGAGGGTTAGCAACAGGGGAGTGGGAGGAGGAGAGGGGGGGAAAAGGTACAGAGAATAAGTAGCATAGATGGTAGGTAGAAAATAGACAGGGGGAGGGCAAGAATAGTATGGGAAATGTAGAAGCTAAAGAACTTCGGACACATGGACACAGACTAAGGGGGGCAATGTGGGTGGGAGAGGGTGTGCAGGGTGGAGAGGAATGAAGGGGGAAATGGGACAACTGTAATAGCATAATCAATAAAATATATTTTTTAAAATAAAAACTAAAAT